GGGGGACAGAAGTTCCCCCCTATTGTTTTTTTAGGGCCCCCACCCACCGCTCAGTGGTGGGGGCCGGGGGGAGGACAGTAGGTCCCCCCCCCATATCTTTGAGTAAACTTTGACAACCCCCACCCCCGAGCGGCGGTTGGGGGGGTTGTCAAAGTTTACTCAATGATATGGAATAGGGGGCAGACCGAACATTGCATATGTTCGCCCGCCGTGGCGAACGCGAACATGCGATGTTCGCCAGGAACTATTCGCCAGCGAACTGTTCGGGACATCTCTACTCTTTCCTCTGCAAAAGTAAATTACTTCATTACTCTTTGGAATTATATATACACATTGATCAGCCCAACATTAATACCACTTACAGGTGAAGTGAATAACATTATATTGTTATATTGTTACAACGGCACCTGTGAAGGGGTGAGATATATTATTTAGCAACTGAACAGTCAGTTCTTGACTGTTTCATGTTTTGTGAAAAGATCTGAGTGATGTTGAAAGGACCAAATAGTGATGGCTAGACAACTTGGTCAGAGAATCTTCAGCAAGTCTTGTGGGGTGTTTCTGGTATGTAGTGGTTTGCATACAAAAAATAGGGGATAATCTGCTAAATCAATGACAAAAACAGTACATAGCGCATAACTGTGTATATGAATAAACCAAGTGTACAATTCACAAATGGCCACTCACACTCTCGCTGGAATTAGAAAGCCTGTAGAATAAATTCCTTTTTCAACATGAATGCCTTTTCAGAATCAATTCTTCCATCTCTATTCAATATCTCATGGATTGGCTGAAAGGTGTGTGCTCAAGAAAAAAATACAATAAAATTGTAGTGCACATTTAAAAATGTAGAAAAAATAAATTTAATAACTTACATCAAGATATAAAACAATGGATGTAATCTCATTGTCACCACCAGGGGATCCCTGGGCTATGTACTGTTTTTGTCATTGATTTAGCAGATTATCCCCTATTTTTTGTATACATTCCATTGAAGACAAGAGGAAGTCTTTGGGGAAGTCCTACCTGGTTCAGGGAGGTTTTTTTCTGCTAATTGTTTTCCGAGCACTTATTGCACTGTGGTTTGTGCACACATATATTGTTTTTTTTGCATGTAGTGGTTTGCACCTACCAAAAGTGATGAAAAGATGGACAACCGCTATAACAGGCACAAAAGGATCATTAATGCTCATGGGGAGTGAAGGCTTGCCCATCTGGCCTGATCACACATGAGAGCTACTGTAGCTCACATTGTTGTAAAACTTGCTGGCCATGATAGAGCAGTGTCAAAACACAGAGTGCATTGCAGTTTGATGCATATGGTACTGCACAGCCACAGACCAGTCACGGTGCCCGTGATGACCCCTGCCCACTGCTGAAAGTACCTTCAATGGGGACACCAGTGTCAGAACTGGATCATGGAGCAATGGAAGAAGGTTGCCCAATTGCATGATTTATCTGGTGAAAAGATGGCAGCACGGTGCACTATGGGAAGAAGCAGGCTGGCAGAGGTAGTGTTATCCTCTGTGAAATGTTCTGCTGGGAAACCTGATTAAGCAGATGTCGCAAATCTCAGATATCACTCAAAAGTGGAGTGCAATATGTGTCATGTTTGCTGGGAATTGTAAATACTAACTATGTATTAAAGTGGAACCTGGTGCTGGAACTGATGTGAATCCAGTGGGTCAGCCAAACAATTAAATAACATTGGATATGCACCTAAAGGAAGGTAAGTTAACAAACATATATTTTCAACTGACACAAATGCAGGAAAAACAAGACTGTTACACAACACACAGCTTTCCAACAGAAGCTCAGCAGAGCTATGACAGGACTGTGATATATAAACAAGACAGATGTTAAGGTCTTCACCTCAACAGTCACCTTCATTTGCAGGATTCACGTTTTGACTAATGGTTGCTGCTGGGGCTTCACACCTAGCAGATGTCATCAAAGGACAGAGGAACTCAGAAGAATGGCCAAGCAGTACATTCTTTAAGAATCAGGATCTTACAAACAGACAAGTACCAAAATGAAGAGCCAAAGCTCCAGGATGCTAACTGATATGGCACTGTGATGAAGGAACAGTGTGTTTCGCAATAAGGGCAATGGCAGGTTTGCGGCTTGAAACATGGCACCAATTTTCAACACAATGAATACCCTTCTTCCATTCTAAGGGAAGACAGAAGCGGCACAATACACTAAAAAGGTGGAACAATTTCATCAAGAGCATGACATTATCCTATTCACCATAGATCTTCTATTTTGTAAAAACATTGGAAAATATCTCAGGTTCTTATTTATCACACAGCGAGTATTCTGTAAATTGAATATAAATATGCAATTGTAAAACTTACTAGCCACAATAATATATGATCAGTAAAATGATGGTTATTAATTTTTATGATGGCACTAGACTCTGGGAAGATATAAATACATTGCTACTACTGTTTTTCAAAGCCAAGAAGTCACTGACTTTAAGGACATTATCCTTAAACTAACTTAATGTGATATTGTAGTTTATATGTCCATATCACTCATTCTCTTTCATTGTCAGCAAGATTTGTTTAAAAAAAAAAAAGTCATTTTATCACTTTCAATGAACTGTGAAATTTGCATTCTAAGCAGCATAGTGTAATAAAGACCAATGCACTATTTGAGTTTCAGCTCACTCGAAAGTGCAGAGCAGAAATTTAGCTTTTTATTTTTTCTGGTTAGACAAACATACTGGATTAATAGAATGAATTACAGTAAAACTTTAAGGCGTCCTTTGAAATATTTACTACCTGCTACTAATTGCTAACGGTTATGCGTAATAGACACATTTGCTTACTTCATTTGATACCCTTCACTAGTTAACAACGGACCTATGGATCTAGTGCCCTCTCTATATAATTGTCCGTACGTTCCTGTGCCGTTATAATTTATTTTATTCTGCAAATTCCTCTTTTTTATGTCAAACAAATTCATTTTACTGCAGCAGTAAAATATATTTGCAAATAAAATGTTAAAATGGAAACAGTCTATGCTTAATTACATTGTGCAGTGGGGGTTCTCGCTTTTCCCTTTTCAGTTTGTTGTTAGGATACTGGGTGTGTGTTTTTTATTTGATCATGGTACATTCATTTATGATATTATATTAATATATAACATGTTACAGGAGGTAGATAAAGTATTAGATACACCTAGCATTTCATTTATATCACAACTATAATTAGGAAAATGTTATTTAATTCAGAACTGCTTCAATCTTTATTGGAATGTTGTCGTAAAATTCCTGAACAGTTTGTAGCGAATATCGATCACTTTTTTAATAAGAAAGTCCCAGTTATTTTAGGGATAACTGAAATGGAAAACTACCCCAACTCTGAATTACCCAAAAAAGGTTCAATGATGTTTAGAACTGGTGATTGAGGACTCCATAAAAGGCTTTTGCCTTACTTCTGGCATTCATGAAGTCATTCATCATGTTTAGGAGTTTGTATTGTGGAATTACCATCCAGGAATCTGGTAACATCATTAGGGAAGAGTGTTTAAAGCACATAGAAAAGCTTGCATCTAAACTTTATCCAAAATTAGGTGCCCTGTACAGAAACAAAGCCTGCCTAAGCCCTACAGTAAAGGAAAAGATTGTACAGCAAATGCTGATGCCAATCATTGATTATGGGGGATGTAGTATATGCGTCTGCATCGCAATCCCACATTAATAAACTCAATACATTGTATAACTCGTTCTGCCGATTTGTGCTACAATGTAATTACAGGACCCATCATTGTGACATGCTAAAGGAACTTAACTGGCTGTCGCTGGAATCCAGACGCACCCTTCATCTTTCCAGCCTTATTTTTAAGAGCTTTTCTGGGAAACTCCCGCCCTACCTGAACAAAATGCTCTCCTCAGCTGTTCCCACTTTCTATAAGCTCCGATCCAGTACAAGCACTTTACTTAGTCTACCTCAATACAAAAAGAAAGCGGCCCGATCCTCCTTCTCCTATAGAGCACCGCAATTGTGGAACGACCTCCCGCACAATTTAAAATCTTCCCTTAGCCTAAAGTCATTTAAGAGATCCCTCTCTACATACCTCAAAACAGAATGCACGTGTCATGGTTGATTATATATTTCCTACCTGTTCTATGTTAACCCCTTAAAACCGGAGGACGTACAATTACGTCCTATTATAGGCGGCTCTAAACGCCGCCGGGTGTAATTGTACGCCCTCCGGTTTTTGTTAACTTACCCGGTCGCCGGCGGTCCCACGCCGGCGATCGCGGTGGGGGGGACTCCCAGGGAGCCCCCCCGCGGCAGATCCTTCTCCTCCGGTGCTCCCCGACCATGTGAGAGTGGGGTCCTAGCGAGGACCCCACAATCACATGGCCGGGTAGGCTGCCTCCTGCATTGCCAGCAGGGGGGCTGCCTGTAATGACAGGTGGTCCCCCTGCTGGCTGGAAATAAAATTTAAATTAAATTTATTGGTGTAAAAAAAATAATAATATATACTTAGATCATATGTATATATTATATATATATGATCTAAGTATATATATACACATATACATACACACACGTACACCGTCTAGGTGTATTTTACTATTAATATATATATAATCATATATATATATATATTAATATCAAATTACACATAGACTGATACTGATTAAATATATATATAATTATTGTTATATATATATTTATATATAATATAAAAAAAATTAAAATGTAAATACGTTAAAAAATAAAATTAAAAAAATAATTAAAAATAAATAATTAAAAAATATATAGATGTGTGTTATTTCGTTCTGTTTTGTGAAATTAATATATATATATATATATATCAAAATACATGTAGAACAAAATAATATATATATCTATATACATAAATATATACGTATATATCACTATATATATACCTATATATAAATAAAAATATTTAAAAAAAATATTATATATACATATATTATACATACGTATATATATATACATATATTAATTCTACATATATATTTATGTAATATTTTTACATAATTAGGTATCTTAATTAATTACAATTAGCAGGACCTGCCTGACAACCCATGCCGAAAGTAAAGGGAATTTAATTTGCTAGCACTATATTTAACCCTATAACTTTCCAAGACACCATAAAACCTGTACATGGGGGGCACTGTTCTACTCGGGAGACTTCGCTGAACACAAATATTAGTGTTTCAAAACAGTAAAATGTATTACAACGATGATATCGCCAGTAAAAGTGACTTTTTTGCATTTTTCACGCACAAACAGCATTACACGGACAATATTATTGCTGTGATACTTTTTACTGTTTTGAAACACAAACATTTGTGTTCAGCGAAGTCTCCCGAGTACAACAGTACCCCTCATGTACAGGTTTTATGGTGTTTTCAAAAGTTACAGCGTCAAATATAAGGCTTGTGTTTCATTTTTTTCACATTAAAATTCGCCAGATTGGTTACGTTGCCTTCGTGACCCTATGGTATGAAAATTACCCCTATGATGGCATACCATTTGCAATAGTAGACAACCCAAGGTATTACAAACAGGGTATGTCCAGTCTTTTTTAGTAGCCACTTAGTCACAAACACTGGCCAAAATTGGCGTTTTTTTGCATTTTTCACACACAAACAAATACTAACGCTAACTTTGGCCAGTGTTTGTGACCAAATGGCTACTAAAAAAGACTGGACATACCCCATTTGCAATACCTTTGGTTGTCTACTATTGCAAATGGTATGCCATTATGGGTGTAAATTTCATTCCTGGGCTACTATACAGTCTCAAAGGCAACGTAACCAATCTGGCAAATTTCAATTTCAAATGTAGCGTGCTATATTTGACCCTGTAACTTCCCAAAACGCCATAAAACCTGTACATAGGGGGTACTGTCTTACACGTGAGACTTTACTGAATACAAATATGTGTATTTTATTGCAGTAAAAGCAAACAGTATTATGACATTGACCGTTAAAATGTCATGTAGAACTAAAAAAATAAAAAAAAATCGTATTTTCTCCCATTTTTTTCATATTAAATTATGTTTCATAGCTAAATATTTGATATTAAATGAAAGCCCTGTTTCCCCTGAATAAAATGATATATAATAAGGGTGGGTGCATTTACTATGAAAGAGGTGTATTACGGTTGGACAGACATGTAGCGCAAATGCCAGGTTTTGTTTACATTTTGTTTTGTTCACAATGTGTATATTTGGCTCCGTCCTTAAGGGGTTAAATTTTGTATATATTGTGTATTAATATTGTTTTTGTATTTTGTTGTATCTAATGTAACAATGCAATGATTTGTGGACCCAGGACATACTTGAAAACCAGAGAAATCTCAATGTATCATTCTTGGTAAAATATTTTATAAATAAATAAATAAATAAATATGGTTCACGTAATCGTGTAAAATAGCCTCATAAGGTATGAGTCAAAACAAATATTTATCAGTGCAGATTTGACCTTGAGGAACCTTAAGCACCTTTGATAACTGTATTCTCAAACTAATTCATAGAAGAGAAAATATATTTACAACAGATAATTTAAAATAAATACAATGTATGTTTTAGAACATCCCTTTTGTAAACAAAGGCACCGTATGGATTGAAAACAGGCAGCGGGTGTTCTCAGATATTTTGGAAATGATAGGTAGGCAAAGTTTTTGCCTATTTTTCTAATATATATTAAATAAATATATAAATAGAAATGTTATTTTTTTTACTGCTTCTCCTATTTTCCCCTCTATTGGTTAGTTTTTGTTACTTGATCTGTGAAGCAAATGGTTGGAAAATGTTCCAATCAGTGTACTACAAAATACAATGTACTATAAAATATATACATAATATTTAGTATCGAATTTGCAGTTCACTGATTTGCAGTTCGATTTCTATGATTTTTTTTTTTTGCTATTGTTATTTAGTTCCTAAATCCTAGTTCCAAAATTCTGCCAAAACATTATTTAGCCGAAATTCGTCTGTCCTGAAAATGTTTCTATTTTCTGTTTGATAACTGCATTTAGAACATTGATAGCACCATTGTACATATTGTACAATATTACATTTATCATAACCTTCACTAGCATCCCACAAAAAAAATACTAATGAAAGTATGTATACATTTAGCAGTTAAAAAATACAAAACAGCATCTTCTTAATATAAAATTGTTGAGCTATTACCCAATTATTGAGTAATTTTGATCTTATTTTAAACCCTATATGATAGTTTTATTGTTAATTCTTAGTAGGAAAGTGAGTCATTAAGAATTCTTCTTTGATCACTTTAATTAGATATAGTCATTACAGCATCACTTAAAAATGTACACATACATTCTCCTTAGGCTAAATTCTTGGCTTAATCAAACATTTTCCAAGTACATGAAAAGTATGAGTGGTGACTTAGAGCATAATGTTGTGTACCGAGTATGAAATTTAATTACAAAGAGTAATTATTTATACTGCATACATATAAATATTTTAAATAGCCAATCCTTGGCAATTTATTTTCATATTTACATTTGAACCATACATTTTATGTTTTAAACAAAAATATAACATATAATGCAATATATTCTGAAAACAGGTATGAAGTGCATCATGAGCACATCAAGCAATTAACAAGTAGGTTAAGGGGAGAAATAGATTTGAAGCAGGAGTAGGAGGGAGTGGATGGGGCAAAAAGGGAAAATAGTTGACAACTAGACAATCAACAGCACGTAACCCAGCGAGCAACAAGGTAAATCTTCTAAGCAAGTCACTTAGCATGATTCTGCAAGACTCACCTTCAGGTGGAATTCCGGTGAGACCATGTTCAAAGGTAGAAGTCCAGGGAGTTATTGGCAGTGTGTACAATTTTTTTCCATTGGGTTTAAGTCCTCTTCTTTTTGTTACCAGTCTTTGTATGTTGGGTTGTATATTTTTCCTCGGTATAAGGACATGAGAGAGTGGTAACAAAGTTGATCAAATTAATTGTCAAGCATCCTTGTACTTTGTCAGCAGGACAATATTGTGCTGTAAGAGAAGTGTTGTGGGTGAAAATGGGACCAGGGTGTATTTGTAAATCTGATTTTGTATTTCAAATGTATTTCTAGATATAGACCTGTACTTACAACATCATCATTGAAAGCTCCACTGTGATACTGTGAGAGACCCCAAAGCTAAAAGATGGCACCTCGATCCTGTGCTTCTTCCTCCTCTGTGAGTAGTGCTGTGTTTTCCTCTAAGCACATAACTGATCAACCAAAAATACATTTTAAATAATTATTGTTCTTCAGTATATATTAACGAGGATTCTATAACAAGAGATATGCAAATGATTGCTGCAAAAAAAATGCAGATAACTTGTGACTGGATTACTCGAAATAAGGTGCTACTGCAGTTAAAGAAAATTAATGTACAGAAAGTTTTAATAAAGTACCCTGAGGGTATTCACCTACGAGTACTTAAGCAGCTAAGTGGGGAAATAAGTGAACCTCTGTATTTCATCTTTCAAGATTCTTTTGTTTCAGGGATTGTACCAGAGGATTGGAGGAAGGCAGATGTTGTTCCTATATTTTAAAAGGGTTCAAAATCCTTGCCTGGAAATTATAGACCTGTGAACTTAATTTCTGTGACTGGGAACATATTTGAAGGGCTATTAATAGATAATATTCAGGAATTCATTGGGAATAACTTTGTTATTAGCAATAATCAGCATGGTTTCATGAAACACGGGTCATGTCAAACTAACCTAATTGCATTCTACGAAGAAGTAAGTAGAAGTATAGATCAGGGTGTTGTAGTGGATGTGATTTTGCCAAGGCATTTAATATGGTCCCTCACAATAGGTTAGTCTTCAAACTAAAAGAAATTGGTCTAGATGAATATTATTATTCTTGGGTAGAACATTGTCTTAAGGATAGATTACAACAAGTTGTCATTAATGGTAAATTTTCAAGCTGGACAAAAGTGGTAAGTGGTGTCCCTCAGGGTTCTGTTTTGGGACCACTTCTATTTAATATATTTATAAATGATCTTGAAATAGGCATTGAAAGCCATGTTTTAGTGTTTGCAGATAACACAAAACTTTGTAAAGAAATAAAATGTGAGCAGGATATTGCTTTGCTGCAGAGGGATTTAGTTATATTGGGGGACTGAGCACTAAAATGGCAGATGAAATTTAATGTAGAGAAAGGCAAAGTTATGCACTTTGGGGTCAAGAATGCACACGCAACTTACACCCTAAATGGTAGTGAATTAGGGATAACAACAAACAAGACGGATTTGGGAACTGTTATAGACAACAAGTTAGGCATCAATATGCAATGTCAATCTGCAGGTGCTAAGGCCAGTAAGGTTTTGTCATGTATAAATAGGGGCAAAAATTCTCGGGATAAAAATATAATTTTGCTTTTTTATAAATCGCTGGCCACAACTTGAATATGCTGTGCAACTTTGAGCAGCTGTTGTAAAGAAGGATATGGCACTAGAAAAAGTGCTGAGACGAGCTACAAAATTGATAAAAAGTAATGGAGTATTTTAGTTATGAAGAAAGTTCAAAAAATGTAAATCTCTTTAGTTTGTAAAAACGGTGCCTCAGAGAGGATATGATAGCATTATACAAATATATTCGGAGGAAGTACAAACCATTATCTGGAAATCTGTTCATAAACAGGGCTATACATAGGACACAAGGTCACGCATTAAGGGGTCCAATACCACATTTGAAGGCCAGATCCAAAGCTGGGGCACAGCTCATGTTAGCTTCTGTATAGACGCACCCAGTGGCGTACACACAATCCATGGGGCCCCAGTGCGAAACTGCTCCGTGGTCCCTCCTCCCCCCATCCCGCCTCTCTCCCCGATCAGTGCCCCCCCGACACATACATAGACACAAACACATACACACAGACAGACACCCCCCGACAGACACATACATACACACATACACACATACATACAGACACACAGACAGACACACATACATACACACATACAGAGACACACACACACATACAGAGACACACACACATACAGAGACACAGATACATACAGACACACACATACAGAGACACAGATACATACAGACACACATACAGAGACACCGACACATACAGAAACAGACACACACAAAACAGAAAAACACACAAAACAGAGACACACACACATACATACAGAGACACACACACACATACACAAAATGCTTCCTACCTTTTGTTACTTTCCCTGGGGTCCAGTGGGGGCTCAGCCTGATGGGAGTCAGAGTTCCCACTCTGACTCCCTCCTCCTTCCTGCTTCCTTCCATGTGGGCTCTCTGTATGCTGGGAGGAGTGACCGGGGAGTCACTTCCTCCCAGCAGTGATGTCATCACAGGGGGCCCGGTCGCGC